GTTCAGACGTGTGCTCTTCCGATCTCCCCAAAACCCCAAAACCCCTTCAAGTCGAATTTAAGATAAAAATTAAGCCAATAAAATAAAATTATAAGTGAATTATAGCTATTATAAAATCTTAATTATGGATAAAAGCATCAATACTTCTGATAATTACCTTACTGAAGAAGCTAAGTTATATCCAGGTTTACCCCAGAAATTTCGTAAAATAATTATGATTTTGAACTATTTAAACAGTTGAACTTGATTGGAATAAAATGGATTCCTCAGATGATTAGGATTATGATGGAGAAGATGAAAGTGATGATAAATCATAAGATGACAAGTTGATAGGGATTTAGAAAGTCAACGAAAATTCTGATGCTATAGTTGAGTCGTTTAAACCATAAGAAAAAATTGAATCAAGTAAAATCTTAAATGAAACAGGTAGTAAGTAATAGTCTGGCCAAAAATATATTAATAAACACTATATTAGTTATGAATGATATTTGCATTCAGTAGGATAATGAAGGAAATACATTCTAAGTATAGTAGATAAATTTGGAAAATATATTGAAAAATGATGAAAATTAAGGAGAAAAAATTAAATCAATGAGAAATCCAAAGCCACCAATACCTCTAGGCAGCCAAAGATAGAAATAAAATCTATTTGAGTCTCTTTAAGGAGATATAAACTAAAAATTACTAAAGCTATCTGCAAGGAATTAGTCTAAAAAGAGGAACTAATAGTAATCATAAAAGCTATCATTTGCCAAGAATAAAATTAAATCAGCAGGAGCCAGCGACGAAAGCACATTGACAAACCCTAATTCTACATACAGAAAATTGTTCAATAGAAATCTTAAATTTTTCTTGTGGGTTATTGAAAAGGAGGAACCTCCTTATATCTTCAAGATGCATATCTAATCAATGAATCAAAATGATATTGATAAGTAAATGATTATCTAGGCTATTAAAAAAGCTCTTCTAAACTAATTAGGCCATGACTTTATTAAATCTATTGATGTGAGAACATTTTAAAAAAAGAACTAATTCAAAGTATTTCTTGAGATAGAAGATAGGATAGATGCTTAAAAGCTATTCAAAAAATTCTTTAAGATGTCAAAGTTGTCATTTTTTGATTAAAATGGAGCTAAACTATTTGACCGAGACATGAGAGCATATTTGGTAAAAGATGAAGCTACATTTGAGAGGCTAGCTAATTAAAAACTTGTTGAGGATGGCTATAGATCAAATGAAAGTAAATAAGAGATATGGAGTAAGGGTTCTTCATCTTCAATAGGTAGTTGTAAAGGAAGAGGCAGCATTTTAAATAGTAGTGATGAGAGTACTGCTGCAAAAGGGAATAGTAATTCTCAAAGAGGTAGTGGTAGAGGAAGTGGGCGTAGGAAAGGCTAAGGACCAAATAATTTTTCATAGTTGGATAATGGAAGAAATAATTCGGCTGAGAACATATTAGACAGTCTTAACAATAAAATATCAGATTAAGAATCTAATAATGAGGATGCAAAAGAAGAGCAAAAAATCAATGTAAATGATTAGCCTAATAATTAATTAAACGAACCTCAAGTAAGAAGTGATATCCCAAAACCCCCAAACAAGAAACGAAGACCAAGGAAAAATAAGAAAAAGCTTATTGATTAAAACAGTATTTCAATTGAATAAATAGACAGTGAGGATTAGCATTTAAAATAAGAGTCAGAGTTATAATTTGAAACTTTTGATATTATTTAGCTAGGCACAACCCCTAAGAAAAAAGATGCACCAATTTAGCAATAATCAGTAAATGAAACTTTTGAAGATCTCGAATCTTTTGTAGAGAATTTGATTTCAAAAACTTTTATCAGTGAAATGTAGTCACTTGCATTTGATTGCTTAAAGGATATAAATATAGAGATATCTTCATTGATGATTAATGAAAAAGCATAGCTAGAGCAATAAAAATTTGCATAAAATCAAGTTAAACCCCCGAGAAGTCCTGACAATAAAAAATAAAAGATAAAATAATACTACGTAAGAAAATAGGACAAAGTATCTGTAGAATAATAAAACTAAGAATTTAAAGAAAACCCAATCAATTACTCCAGTAGTAATTAGACTGAAGAAAGGAAAGATAGTTATAAGGGGATCTAAGTTTATAATTAAACAAATGAATACTAGAATGATTATCTTGAAGATTTGCCACCTTAGCCAACAAGGAGAGTCACATATAACCCTGAAATAATTGATGATAAAGATGATTATTCTAATTCATAGCAGTAGTCAAGTCGGAAAGTGTAGTATAAACCTCAAATTAGTAAAGATATAAAAAAGGGATAACTTAAAACCCCTAGAGGACCTACAGGGAACTAAGGTAAATATTTTTACCAATAAAAATGAAAAAAGTTAATTAAAGAAAGTTTGACATTTAATTTCATCAAATTTCCCCATATTCATAAACTCAGCTATAAGGGGTTTTGGGGTTTTGGGGTTTTGGGG